AACATTTTAACATTATACTGTGCATACAACCATGTTTGTATTTTACTTATCTATCTACCCATCAGTGTATTGTCAATGTTAAGTCAAAATGAGTTTATTAATATTCCCGATGAATCTCATCTCTGTCTTTGATCTGTCTTTGATCCAACACTGGTAAATGTATGTTTTCTACCATGTGTTTTTGTGGACACGGACTCTCCTGCAGCGTCTCCTGCAGATGCTGCTTGTTGACATCTTTTAAGAAATATGTTATTTTTTTCAAAGGGATCATGTCAGACCCTTCTCTCACCACTTTTTTCCGTCTCTCTCCTTCGCTCTCTTCTTGTCTGTCACTTCATTTATTCATGACACGACACGATCTCCTGCACACGACGCACACAGCGGATACTGAACTAAAGGTCTTTGACATCGGTTCTTGAAATGCCAGGCACCCACATCTGTCCTCAGGCCATCTAGACACACACACATATAAATAGATGTAGTCATGTCCACAATCACACCCAAGCACTCGCACAAACACACACTCGCTGTCACGCTCCCACATCCACACGCACAGACACACACTTAATGCAAGTGCACACGGGGTCGCCCACGCAGAGCAATGCCACTGTTAACGGCAAAGCGACACAGAGCGAGGGATAGACTCAACAGATCTGCAGCTCGGAGCTCTCTGCTCACATTTGCATGTTTTTTTATTTCGCATTTTTTACGCACCTAACAAGCGTTTTCCAGCTGCGCGAGGTCACACGAGCAGATTTAAAAAGCATATGATCATAGTGGAGCTTTTTATTTCAGAGAAACATCATCTCCCTAGAATCGGTTTCCACAAATGAGCGAGTGAAACAAGCGGGATAAGAGAAATAAGAGCTGCGTGGTGGGCGATATGCTGAATTCATTAGCTGACACTAACGATGCGGAAAAGGTTATGATTTCCATGCATGTTAGGGCCATAATCTGTCCCGTCCATTCTAATAGGTTTACAACACAGACAAATTAGCACAAACCGTGTTACACATGAGCTTTTATCTCCCTCGGATATGTCGCAGACCATTTTTTTCCCCCTGCTGCCTCTGACACCCTGATGTCTCTTTAAATGTACAGTATGTACTTTTCTCTTCCTTTGTGGTGACAAACACAATTTTCGTCTCCGTGCAGACATCAGATCGACGAGCAGGGCGGGAGGAGAACCCTTCCTCTTTGTAACTGTCAGGGAGAAAAGTGGGTTCATCTCTGCACAACGACTGAAATTGGAAGTCGTGTTTCTGTGTCTTTGAACTCCTCATTTCCTCTTTATGTGCACATTTGAAAGTGTCTGCCTATGAATTAATAACACAACCACAGAGGCTGGAGTTTATGTTGGTGTGTTCTGCTTCCACATGCGGTTGTAGTTCTCCTTCTCTTTTTTTTTTTTTCCCGTGTTGCTATTTTTAACCAACATAGTGAATGAGGAGACTTTACATTGTCATCCGAGTTGAGGATAGGGCCGAGTGGTATCGACTGAATCGATAATACACACGAAGTCCGAATTAACGTGGTGATATTCTGGGGATGCAAACACGCAAGTGTCAACGCTGTGAGTCACCGGTTGTCGGCCCTGCCAAGCTTTTGTCTTGTGTAAGTCATGAACTCACTTTGTTCAAATTTCAAGTATCAGATGATGTGGAGGAGGAGAACTGTGACTCATTCTCTATATTGGGGGAATCTTCAGGTGTATTATTGCTTCTAAGGACTTGATATTCAACACAGGAAGAAAGAAAAGATGCGTTGAGATCTGTATCCAGTAGAAATCTTTATTATGTACTTATTTACTCCTGAGAGGGACCAGAGAGCGAATTGTTTTGGAAACGTATTGTTTAATTTCGCTCTTTGGATTTAAAGAGACCTTTTTATTCAGACTATATCTGATTATTCCCGTATTTACTTTAATGTTTTGTGTTTCCTCTATTTTATGATAATTCCTCTTTTATAAATCAAATTTTTTTCGGTAGCTTCCATGTCATGTGACCCCCCAGACTCCAAACCGATGCTGAATTGTATTATAACCAACACAATCCAATAAAAAAAGATTTGTCTTGTCCTTCTAGTTGAAAGTTATATAGGATAAAACGTATCAGTTCTAATAATCTTGATAAAATATTGAATGTTAAAAAACAAAGTACGAGATGCAATGTTGCTGTGATGCCAGATAATTAACCGGGAGAAGTGTCGTCTTTCTGAGATCTGCTATTAAGTTGATTTATGGACGTATATTCACAATAGAGGTTGGAGTTGATGACCTCAGAACGTTTAAGTCTCACTGAATGAAAGCAGATCCTGAATCATGTCTGTGTTTTTAGATTGGACTGAATTATGGCTCTAAATTTCACAGAAATGGCGACAATCTGGTGCAAAAGGTTTCCTTGACTTAAATGACCTTAAGAGCATTTTGCCTGATGCCGTCAGACTCAGGTATTTCTCTCGCTGTGTCGTCGGAGCTGTGTTGTTTCAGGGTTGGAGGCTGATCGTGAGCAAACAGTCTGTGTAGCCTTAGGTCCTGCGTATATATAGCACTCAGCCTCAATACTGATGACCCAAATCACACACACACATCACAGATAAATCATACACTAGAGGCTGTGGCCGAATTTTTATCTGGGTCTTTAGAACAATGACGTGAAAGTAATGGTGTGTGTCTCTTTGTGTGTGCGCCATTAAGCCTGAATCTGTGTTGTGTTATCATAATGACTTTATTGTGTATCAGTAACACTTTACATACATCGGTCCCTTTGTGTCTGCATGAAATCATTAGCAGCCCATCAGCCGCAGCATATTTCCTTTTCGTTCACACCTGGATAGTCCATTATGTTGCAATGCACCAGGGCCCCCATTAGTAAACCTTGTGTTTGCACAGAGACCCTCGTATCAAAACCTTCTATTCTCAGGGAAATTGGATTTTATAAAAATTGAACTTGACGGCAGAATGTGTACTCTGTTAAACACTGATGATGCCGGTGGCAAAGTACTGTTAAGCATAATAAATCCAAAGTGGGTTTGCACATCAGTTCATTTCAGTCAGTGGTAAAAGAACATCCCAGGCCTAAACCGTGCTTCTCTCTGTTTGTTTGTTTCCAAAACCTGGGTTGAGATGATAAGTGGTCAGTGTGAGCTGTGTGAGTTTGTGCGTTGGGAACAGGGTGGCCCACTTACCTGCTTCTCTAATGCAGCTTCATTCATCCACTGGAGCTGTGTCCTCTTCTCCGCTGTGAGTTTCAAGAGGCAAGACAACAAGAGGGGGTTTTCTCCAGTATTCCCCCGAGACTGTATCTGCGGTTCATGCAGCTTTATTCAACGCTTAATTTTAACCTCGTAAACATGGACGATATTTACATCGGACAGTTCATTAATCATTTTAATTAACTGCAGTAAGTAATTAAGCGAAAGGCAGTTTGAAGTCTGAAAAGTGAATCCAACACAGAAGATAAACCGTCAAATTCTCTGTGAAATAAAAACCTTTCATTTTATTGTGCAGGTCGTATCAGTGTTCTGTGGCTTTGCTTGAAAAGTGACTGAAATGATCGATTGAATATTTAACAGTGGTTTCTGTTCAACTGTTTTATTTATTTGTGGTAAGAATTCATCAGATTCACTCCTGTCGTACACAACTTCCACAAAATCCACAGCATCCACTGACTAAACTGATTCTTGTGCCTGTGTGTGCATAGATACTGTTGTCAGCTGTTGTCATCTTGTGTCTGTGTGTCCGCCCCCCCCCCTAACAATGCTGCTGTCCGTCTCTCGCTGTGCATTATCCAGTGCAGCACAATCATTATAAGACACACCGGTGTGTTATCTTTTCCTCCCAGGTCTCCGTTTGCTGCAGTGGCAGACTACTCAGTAACCAGAAATAATGTCATCCAGCTCTGCCTGGAGCTCACCACCATTGTACAGCAGGTGTGTGCAATTGTTTGTGTGTGTGTGTGTGTGTGTGTTGAGGGCTGATAGCTCTGGTTCTCCTTTACTTCAAGTGTGAGGCAGAGGGTTGTCGTATCCCCTAAAGAACAGTGTGTGTGTGTGTGTGTGATGCAGCAGCCTCAGACTCTATTGCTGCATCCTTGAATGAGCCTTTGCTATTTGCGTCCTTACCGTCTGTCTTAGCATGGCTTGTGTGTGTGTGTCTGTTTGTGTGTGAATAAAAAGATAAATGCGTTTGTTTGTGTGGGCGTGTTTTTATCTGTGAGGGTATAGACTGAGTGTGCAGGTGTGTGAGGCCTAGACAGTGCACAGAAGTGGCAGCAGGATGGGGTGTTGTGTGTTTTTGTGTGTGTGTGTGTATTTGCAAGACAGGATGTTCTGCTCGCGCTACATTAAATTCTGCTTGTCCCTCAGGACTGTACCGTGTTTGAGACGGAGAACAAAATCCTTCATGTGGTGAGTCCTGTTTCCTCGGCCAGATGTCGCTTATTTGCTGTGTTGATGGGAATCGCCCTGTTTTTACAAAAAAATTATTTTTAATAAAATTTCAGTGTTACAGTATATCGACAAACACAAACTCAATCTCTGGTTGTTGTTATTCAATAAATATGATCGGTGCTAGCAGTAGCATTTTAAAATGATTAACTTTCCTGCAGCCGGGGGGGGGATTAGCGTAGCTTAGCATAGAGAGTGGGAGCAGAGGGAAACAGCTAGCCTGGTTAGGATGGAACAAACTGGTGGAAAATAACGAAGTGCATTAACTCGGGAAGTGTAATTCATCCCCAGTTTACTTAAGCTATGGAAATTATCTTATTTATCCATTTCGGATTGTCCATTCAAATAATGACCAACTCATAAATGTTCTCTTAATGAATTATTTGCATGGGGACAAGTCGACAGCATCTGTACAGACCTTCAAAATGCACAAAACTCAACAATAAGAATCTAAACAGAGCAGCAGAAAACACAGTTTACAACGATATAAGAAAAGTAATATAAAATGACAAGCACCAGATGAGTCATAACTGATTTATTTTGTTGCTCTGTTTCAGTCCCACTGCAGAATGAACAATGTTATCATATTTCACCAGAATTATATAAATAATGCTTCAGCAAACATTAATCCACAACTCACAGTTCAATGAAATGAGAACTTTTACACTTTGGTTCTTTTTTGTCAAGAAAAAAAACTCCCCAGCGACACCTCCTCCTCGAGGAAAAACCGATGTCCCGTTGTCTCTGGGTCAGCAGCTCATGAAGTGACGGGGCGCATACGTTTAATTGACCTTCATGGCAGCGGACGCAGGCGTCTCTAATAACATCACTAATTGCAGCGGTGCGTCGCAGTAATGGCTGCAAAGAGCCGTCGCCTCTGTTATTAGTTCCACATGAGCCTCATTCTGACGAGTCGACGTGTGAGCGGTGAAACAGACGATCGTTCTGATTCATGTCGTGACAACCAAGACAAAAATGACTAGATGGACATTATCTTTTCATAATGTGGAGAAAATACAAATTGATTCTGCAAAAAAACAAGACGATCATTATTTTCTTGTTCTGACAACTTTCTATTATCAAGTTGTAATTTTGTAGATTTGTCATATTGTGTTCTTAATAAAGCAGCACCAGCGTATCTTCTGTGTTTTGTTTCTCGTCCTCCATCTTTTTCTTCTTCTTCTTCTTGTCTGCAGTGTAAGACTCTGTCCGAGGTGTGTGAGCACATCGTGTGTGTGTCGTCCGACCCTCTGGTTTCTCAGTCGGCTCATCTCGAGCTGGTTCACCTCACCAACATCAAACCCTCTGAAGGCCTGGTAATGACTCTGTTTGACCTGCTTCAATCTTAACTTTGTCTCACAGACTTTTAGGATCTAGCGCCACCATCTGTTTATCATTATGAAGTAACTTCTACTCAGAATCAAGTGAGAATTCGGGCTAAGAACGTGGACTTCTCCTTGTTGACCTGAATGTAACGAAACCCTCTTCATCACCAGGGGATGTACATCAAGTCGACCTACGACGGCCTCCACGTGATCACGGGAACCACTGAAGGGGTGAGAGGATCACAGCCGTTCACATAAATGTGACGTAAATGAATAGCCAGTGAAATGGATTTCCATCCAGACGAGGAACTGACATTTAGATCTAGAGCCGCTCATCAGATTCCAGATTCTGTTGTGTTACAACTTATTTATGTGGGGTCTGTTGTGAAACTTGCCCTCTCTTGTGTTCAGAGATCAATAAGTTCCTGGTTTTCTTTTTTCCCTCTCTCTCTCTGGCTCTGTAGTCTCCAGCTGACCGCTGTAAGAAGATCCATGCAGGAGATGAAGTCATTCAAGTCAATCACCAGACTGTGGTGGGTTTCTTAGAGTCTTTAAACATACATTTTCATATTGATTGCTTTTTTCTGCTGAACAGGTAGTTTTGACTCTTTAGCTGCTGTCGAGAGGAACTGAGAAAAGTGGGTATGACTCAAAAGCTAAAGAATTTACATAGTTCAAGAAACGTTATGTTTTGTTCATTTAAGAAATATTTAAAATTGTATTTGTTCATTTAGCAAAATATGCAAAATAGATTTTGGGAGTTTGAACACAATTTCATTTCTCTTATCATGTCTTATGTTTTATTGACTTGCAGAACCTTAGTTTTTGAAGCATTAAAAGATACTCCAAGTATTGACACCACAGGAGGAAAGAAATACCGACGCATCTTCGCTGAGTTAACATCATCAGAAAAGATAAATCCCTGCAGATGCATCTCATTTAAAATTCCGCGTGATGAAGTTTATTGGCTGGGCCACCGGTCTGTTCACATCTGTGTTGCAGATTGTGCCCTTAGTTTACAAGGTGAAGCGGCAGCGTGCATTTCTGTTCACGTAATCAGATCCTCTGACCCTTCCTGCTCCTCCTCCTGCATCACGATCAGATCTCACATCAGTCAAGTAAATTCAATTAAAAGAGCTGTTCCTTGGTTTTAATGAGAAAGTTAATGTCTTGAACAACAAACAACCTGTTCCCCGTTCACAGGATGTTTCTGATCACAAATCTCCCACAAACAGAAGCGTTGGCACGGCTCTGTGCAAATAGTGCCTTAAAATGAGGAGGAATAAATGATAAGAAGCGCTAGTTTTTGAATTGAGGGCAGGTTACATCACATGAAAGCTCTATAGATAGACTCTCCACCTCCACACCCATTTGCCTGGCACAGAAGGCTCAACCAGCGAGATCCAATCACGACATGGACAGATTTCAAACTGAACACAAACACTGTGTATAACTCGGGTTGTGATTTTTATCCTTCATCATCCAGATCAAGATATTTCCCACTGTCCCCTCCCATCCACAGGTGGGCTGGCAGTTGCGCAACCTGGTCGGCTCGCTGAGGGCCGACAAAGGCGTCGTGTCCCTGACCCTGAAGAAGCGTCCGCAGAGCACGCTCAGCTCCGCCCCCGCGCTGCTGAAGAACATGCGCTGGAAACCCCTGGCTCTTCAGGTGGGACAAGCTCCACCTTCTATAGACTTTATTAAAGCGCCACGCTGGCCCACATACGTCCCCTCAGTGTTCGCTCTCCCCGCACGACGGCAGCCGAAGTGTGTAATTAGGTCAGGGCTCTGTGGCTCAGCGTGGTTTTTTGTTCGCCGGCTGAAACGCTGAATGGGAAGGGAACAGTGATGACACCCTCCACCCACATTCCCCATGCTCCTGTGAATTATGAGACATATCATCATTAACACAGATTATCTGCACGATCAAAAACACAAGGGAAAACAGTTTCTCTCTGGCCACCTCCGCCGTGGATGTTATACTTCTGCCCCTGTGCGTTGGTTGGTTTGTTTGTATGTGATGTGCTGGGTTACGCAAAAACCTATTCGTCATTTTTCTACAAAACTTAGTGGAAGGATTGGACATGGGCTGAAAAAGAGCCCATTAAAGTTTGGGGTGTATCCAGGATTTCTCTTTTTATTACGTTGTTGAATAGGTTGTATGATTCATGGGTGTTGATTAATATAATCAGGCGTATTCAGGACTCTGATATTTATGAATATGTGGGAGCTGGTGGAGCTTGGTTGAATTGTGAGGGACTGTTGAGTTAAATGTTCTACAGAGTGGAAAATATTTAAATTTAAAGATTTGTACATTTCTGTTTGCTCCAGAGTTTGTGGTTCTTTTACTTTAAAAATCTCCTAAATTGCCAAAACTTTAATCTGCTACTTCTGACAACATCACTAGTTTGTTATATTCAACAGTTGTGTTGTTGTGTTGTTCACTTCCTTATCGTTTGCTGTCTTCAGCCAACCAGAAGTCCAGGCAGTGGTTCCGGCACCCCCTCAGGCACACCCACCAAGACCTCGGCCCTCCATGACCTCTACATCCCTCCTCCGCCGGCTGAGCCGTACACACCCAGGTACTGTGTCCGTGTGTCGGAGATAAAACATGTAGAAGTGGTGACGGCCAGAGAGCAGCTCTGATTTGATGTACGTTTTTCTCTTTTCCTGGTAATTGTGCCTCTGCTGTTGCCATAGAGATGAGACGGGAGCCTTGTCTGGAGATGAGGCCTCTCGTAACCATGGCGGAGTCAGCCTCGCTAAACGCTCCGAGTCTCCGAACTCCTTCCTGGACCAAGAGTCTCGCCGGCAAGAAGAGGAGGAGCCTGTGTACTGCACCACGCCCACATATGGTAAAGTCTTGTGATGATTGACAACGTGTAGATAGATAGAAAACGGCATCACAAATTAAAGAGCTTTACAAGGAGAAGAAGATTTTAAAAACACTGGTCCAGTGCATGCAATTCAAGACGAACATGGACAGACGCTTTACGTCTTCAGACGTGATTTTATATTTCAACTTTTCACCGTTTGAAGGAAAGCCTGAGGATTTGTGGCCTCACACAGCGCACATATTGCACATGGATAAATGAAAACCTGTTGCATCTAATAATTCAAAATGGAATATCAGAGAAGAAGAATGTATCCCAGCAGATTCCTGTCCTGTGCATTGAAATTAATTTAGTTTTGTGTGTGTGTGTGTGTGTGTTTGTAGGCAGGCTGAGGCCCATCTCCATGCCTGTGGAGTGTAACTGGGTGGGCGACTATGAAGACCCAGCCAAGCTCAACAGAGAAAGTCGCAGAGGTGAGTGTCGGCGTGTGGAGTGTGTGTGTGTGTGTGTGTGTGTGTGCGCGCCTTCTGAAGAGCCTGTTAAGAGTCTATTAAATGTTCCCATCGCTCTGTATTATGAATAGATCTGTGTGTGTGTGTGTGTGGAGATCAATGCACCTCCATCCCTTTCTCTAATTCTCTGTGTGATTAGCATCACAGAGAAATGGAATAACAGGGGATGAGGAGAGGAAAAGAAAAGTGGGCCGTCGTCACAAAGGCAGAGAAAATAAAAGAGAGGACGAATTAAAGTGAAGGAAAGAAAGAAAGTAAGAGAGAGAGAGAGAGAGAGAGAGAGAGAGAGAGAGAGAAGGACAGAAAGGAGGCAGAAAAAAAAAATTAAATAAATAACGGTTCCCCCTGACCTCCACCTGAATCACTCACACAGTTGCCATGGCGACGCCGACAGCAGCTCCTCTCGGTGTCTCACTCTCCCCTGGCCGCTGCCTAGCAACCAGGGGAGGACATGAGGGTGGGAACCGTTAAGGAGAGAGAAAGAGAGAGAGAGAGAGAGAGAGAGAAACCTGGGTTTCCTCTCCGGTGGAAAGAAGTTGGTGGGAAAAAAAAAAAAGATGGAAGAGACTTAACCAGAGCGCGTCTGTGAACAGGTTCAATAAATGCTGACTCATACATGTCCACATGCACGGCCACGTTCACGAGGAGATCGTGGATCCGACTAAAACCGTCTCAATCTCTCAATGTGAGGAAACGTGGGGGCCCAATAATATACCAGAGACTTTCCGCAACAGGAAGTCGGAACCTAACCTGCAGCCACTGCTGGACGACTCGAGCCTGCGATGAGAAAGTTTATAGATAAGATAAAATGCAGCACTAAAAACAGACCTGACAAATAAAGTTTCTGGACGTGAGTTTTGATATTTTCAAAGAGGAAACTTGTAGATTGGCTCATTTACGACCTGATTAAAGGTCAAAATCTTAATCTTAATCAATATAATGAATTCAGATTTTAAAAAAAAATATTATGATTTATTTTAAACACCAGTTGACTAATTTTCAAGAATCCTCGAGTCACCTGACATTTAGACTCTGGTTTTTTTTTTTTTATAATTTTGAAATGAGTCTCTAATTGACCCTGAAAAAACCTCACTGAGATTATAAACCCCTTCACAGGAAGCACTGATTTAAACAGCATGTGACAGAATAGAAATAATAATCATGAGGCATTTAATCTCTGTAGGTCAGATCTGTCTGATACATCGATTCTGTGTTTGAACAGAGGCGTCGCTCATGCGCTACGTGGGGCTGCCCGGAGCTGACGAGAGGACCGGCTGTGACGACTACTCCTCCCACACGGCTCGTCCGGGTAAACGGACCAATGACACGACCAAACGTGCCAAGAGGCGAAGCCACCACAGCCAAAGCCCCTCCCACTATGTCCTGCAGACAAATCAGAGGGATTCTCCGCCCAGAGACCCCGCCTCCATTTATCACGTAAAAATTTTTTTCCCTTTACGTAACATATATATATATTAATATATAACAGAGAGAGATCTGTATCTGTGTGTGATCACCCAGTGAGCTCATTTGTTTACAGGAATATTATTTAAATATATCGTGGCACCTTATTTACAGCCGAGCCAGCTGCTAACGGGCCAAGCTGTTGCCGACTCGTACCCTTTAGACCATGTGGTGTTTGTACCAGTTATGTTAATCTTTATTTTACAGTTGTTTTTCTTTTTGCTCACGTGCTTCATGTCTGTTCAAGCTGAACTCTGAACTTTCTGTTTCTTCCTCCGAGCAAAAAAAAAACAGTTTCTATCTCATCTGTTTCCAGATGTGAGTTATAGCTTTTCTCCCTGATGAAACAGCTCTGTAGTGAAGAGTGATCCGAGCTATGCTGACTTGTTATTACCCCCCTGTCACTTCCGTGACATCTGTCCGCCCTGCCTGTCCGTCGAGCTCGCCGCTCTGCGTCCGCGCCGTCACTGTGGCCGGCGGTGACCTTATACATCTTGACAGCATCTCTTTGGAAATTAAACGTGTTTCCATGTGTGGGCCTGGCGCGGTTGTGTACGAGTGCGTGTTTACCGTGTGCATTGGTGCTGTGATGGCAGATGGCGTGTCAGCGGGCGTGGGCGGGTCCGTGTCATCCGTCTTGCTGAGCGAGGGGCCGTGAATGGCCGAGCTCCAGGTTGTGACATGTGTAATATTGTGACATCGGAGTTTGTCCGTTGGTCGCTCTGACCTGAGGAGAGGTCACGTTGCAAAAATCAGTTTCAGACGAGAGGTTTATTTAAACTGTGAGGCAGAGACAGGAGGATGGACGTTCTCCTCCTCCTCCTCCTCCTCCTCCTCCTCCTTTGAGTCACAACTCTCTGAACCTACAAACATGATGCACGTGTGTTCTGCTCCTTCGTTTCTTCATATTTTCCAAGAATGAGCTGTTAATTACTCTGATATTTCCAAGAAATACCCACAGTTTGGTTTCTCTTCTTTATAAGCTGCCATCTAGTTTATACATATTTATTAGTTCTTGTCAAACTCTCATATATTACAAGCAGGTGTACTCCATTCTAATTAATACAACCTTTTCGTCCTGGTACTTCTCACTGCTAAATACCAGATTATTCTTAGGACAATATATTGAAAGTTTCCAGGAAACTGTTGGCCTCGGTTTCCAAACCTGCCTCGGAAACTTTGAGTTTTCATATATTCTCTGGATACAGGAAGTACTAAGGCTAAATTCTGCAAACTTTCCATGTTGCCGATTTGCTAACATGTGAAACAAATACATAAAAATCAGGGCTCAAGTTGTAAGTGACGTGAAGTAACCGGCGCTGTGGCTGTATACGGAGAAAAGGGAGTCGCATGTTTGTCCTTCACGTTTTGCCGACTAGAGTTTCTGTTTCATCCCAGAGGCCCTGAACTGTATTTTCTCACCTCTCCTCCGTCACCTGGACGTCCTGCCACTTCTCCCTCCCTCTGTTTCTATGTTTAGACGTGTGAGAGCTGCTGAGGTCCAACACGAGGTCGACTTTTCCGCATGTGTGTGTGTGTGTGTGTGTGTGTGTGAGGAAGAGATAACGACGGAGAGACTTTCCCTCTGTATTCCTGTTTTTCTGCCTCCTCTCTCCTCGTCTCCTCTGCTTCCCAAGATCTGTCGTCTTTTATGTCCCATGATCCCTTGCAGCATACGAAGGCCACAGATCCATCCTGACGGCTCTCTTCTCTCCTCCTTGCAGACATACCAGCAGTCGTCCTCTCTGCAGTCAAAGACCAGGAAGAAGAATAAAGGTAAGCAGGAAAGCCACATGTTCGGTTTAGCTTGAGCAGGAATTGCCGCTGCGCCCAGATGCTCGCCAGCTGTGGTCATCCACTGCTTCACTCCCTCTGGAAGGCAGAACTAATGGACGCTGTGTTAAAGTACGAGAGCTGCCGCTTCCTGGAAACAACTGTGCAGTCAGGAGGAAAACTCAGGAGAATTCTGACACTTATTGATTTCCAGAGAAAAGATCAGTTTTCACACAAAAACATTATTTTTTAAGATTTTACAGGAGAGTTTTCTGTTTCTGCTCCGCCTGCCAATCGACTCAGTGACGTGTTTTATTGACATTTTCTGCTTTTATTTACTACATCACTCTATACCACGCTGCAGTGCGTCGGACTTACAGAGGGTGTGTGTATTTATCTTCAAGATTTAGCAATAAATGTCATAAAGCAGAGACAGATGCCATCACAGTTTTCCCAAAATGTCACTGGTTCGCCATTAGAGATGGAGCCACTGCATATTTGGTACATTTCCATATTAAAACTACAATACGCAACTTTTGTAACATAGAAGCCTCTGGTTCAGGAAGTAATAGCGGGAAATACGCAGTCAGCACATTGACAGACTTTGTTTTCTCTCGACACAAACAAACACGTATTGGCTCTGACACAGTCCAACATCATTTGTCAGCATGTGTGGCTGCAGAGGGCGCTGCTGCTCAGTAAACGTCACACAGTGTAAAACGCTATAATTGTTCATTCTTTTGCAAAATCTTCGTTAACCCCAGAATCAAATGTAATTATTCCTCACAATCACTCTAATACTGTCTTTTTTTGGGCATTAATGAACAATATATTCATACACTGGTGGTAATAAATCACAGTTTTTTGTGTCGTTCAACCGGTAAACGTAAATTAAAACTTCACTGACCGCACCGATCTATATCCTCTGCCCGCTGGGAGTTTATCCTGCTGGAGTTATTCAATTATTTATCTGCTTCAGCTCGAGCCTCTGCAACGAAATCAGTTTGTAGTCAGGACAAAATCATTTTTTTCCTCACATGCAGCGAATTTGCATTTTAACACGTCGTGCTCATTTCACAGATTTTTGGTGAGTCCAGATTGGACTGACTGTTTGCTGTGTACTGTACATTTAGTCCAGATGATGAGTCCAGTGACTCAGCATTTTCTTTTACGTGAGAGGGCACAAAAAAAGACTCATGTTTTGGTCAAATGTTGCATAAAAACCACAGTTTTGTCAGTTCTCTCATTACTTTTGTACAAACGGTTCACACCATGATTAGTAGTTTCATATTACATTTGTTCTTTTGGGTGATTTTACCCACTGATTGGCCTTTTTCGCAACTTTCCTCCTCCCTGACCGAACCGTCCACCGCACTAACAGATCAACATGTTGTGTTTATATTTCTCCCCCTGGCCTTTCACTCGTTTCACCATCTGCCTTCGTGAGAAACTCCGAAAGCTTCAGTTCCATCTGCACTCTTTCTTACAATGGCCTTGTTAACTTGCTTCGAGCAAAGTTTTGAAATTATAACAAAGAAATATCGATGCTTTAAATGCAGCGAGCGGCCGCTTTGTCAAACAGGTAATGAAATATTAGTTACTCCTGTTCTCTGGGCTGAGATGATCTTTATTTTATTAAAATAAGTCTCTGCCTCAGCCGTGAGCTTTTAGTGATGGTATCAGTTTATAGTCTGGGCTGAGGCTGCTGCACAAAAAACAGTTTGACCTACAGATTCTTCTCTATCTGAGTGTTTAAGTTATTAATCTCCACATTCTCCTCTTTTCGCGCTGCATGTTTGAGCTTTAATCCTCCTGTCTCTTGCACTGTTGGAGAAAGTTCTCTCCTCTAGAGATGCACCACACGCTGCACTTTCAATCTCCACAGAAATAAATGGAATATTGAGTTGCAAGACTCAGGATGCAGCACAATAAAAGTTTCTCCGGCAACTGGGAGCCAACTCTCCTCGGTAATCTCTAATGAGGAGCCTGCTGAGAAAAATGTTACAGGGCTTTTATGCCAGAAGGAAAAGGCAGTTTGTATTAAACACCTCTCACCTTACTGCAGTGCCGCAGTGTTCCTTCACATCCAGACTCGGAAATCTTGCCAAGAATCATTGGAACATTAGGACGTGGTGTTTCATGAATGCTTTTATTCTTACCACGTCAAAAGGGCTAAAATGAGCAGTTAGTGCTACACTGATTCTAATTTGTATTCTCTGCCGTTTGCTGCGTGTCGTTCCAGGACGAGGTCTGGCCTCCCTGAGTCGGAGGCGTGTTTCCTGCAAGGCGCTGGGCAGAGGAGACTGCGAGGGCTGGCTGTGGAGAAAGAGAGACGCCAAGGGTTATTTTTCCCAGAAGTGGAAGAAGTACTGGTTTGTTCTGAAGGACAACTGCCTGTACTGGTACATCAACGAGGAGGTGAGGCTCGGGCCCCATTCAGACCCCGGCTCATCCAATCACAAGCTAGTTGGGACCAAGGCCACAGATTTGATTTATTTGTCTATTTCAACAATAAATGTGACATATATTATATTTCCTAATGTGTGATTTGTCATAATCTGGGTCTTGTTCATTCATGGTTTGTATTTATATTAATTATTTGGAAAGCTGACGGCCGTTGTTTTGAAAGATTTTTCTTTAATCTGTCACTTCCCTTTTAGCTTTTTCCTTTTTCTTATTAATAATATTGTTCATTTCTCTGTGCAGGATGAGAAGGCTGAGGGTTTTGTGAGTCTTCCAGAATTCAAGATCGACAGGGCCAGTGAATGTCGCAAGAAGTAGTAAGTGCATGATTGCATATTTATGTGTATTTACTTTTGCATGTGCATTTTACTCTATGTGCTCTTTAAAAAAAAACATCTCCCTCTGTTTCTCTAGTGCTTTCAAAGCTTGTCACCCCAAGGTCAAGAGTTTCTACTTTGCAGCAGATGGAGTGGATGACATGAACAGGTAAAGCAGCGTGTGCTAAACGTGGACGAAGGTTATGCCGAGGGCAAACTCCCAGCTGTGTGTGTGTGTGTGTGTGTGTGTGTGTGGCAGGAGAGCAGCTTCCTGTTTACCATCGGCAAACACATAAATAACATAAAGAACGAAAGAGGCCAGATTCTATATTGGAGGAGTGGTTCTGAAAACATTTGCAATATATTTCCACAGAGGCTGAAATAAAGTAAATTGAACCATTTTATGAATTAGCTTAATTACTCAATTTAAATAACCTATTCTGTACAGTTGTCACGTAATTGTACTTAATTTTGTTCATTCACATATTTGCCAGGACATATAAATATAATAACTATTTATTTAAAGATGCTATTTTGATAAAACAGTGGTTTACTAATGCAGCTGTTTTCCCATCATTAGATTTAAATATACTTTTTTCCCCTCTTCTCTTATACTTTGAATTTAGATCCTTTAATATAATAAAGTTTATGTATTTTAAAATGCTCTGTTCTTCTGTCAGATGGCTGAGTCGTCTCAACATGGCCGCTGTGGGCTACGCTGAGCGCGAGAGGATGCGTCAGGAGCAGGGTGAGGGTTCTGCTCAGTGACTTGCTGAAGGGAACTTCAGCAGATCTAAGCTGCAGGACAGTGTTTTTAACTTCCAAACATACGCAGTAAATTCACTTTGGTTAATTTTCTACCTCCTGTGTTGTATTTAGGATCTTTGTGTGATATTTCTGTGGAGATCTAAACGTGGATAGATGATATCTTTGAGATTCTGACAGTTTGTGTGTGGGTTTACAGCAGATTACTGGAGTGAGAGCGAGCATGAGGATGACACCACCTCCAGCCCCAAACAGGACAGTCCCCCACCTCCGTACGATACCTACCCACGGCCTCCATCCGTGAGTCACACACACAGCTGTGTCATGCGCTCGTATGAAGCCTGTACTGTACTTGAAGGCAAAATTCATGCTCAGTGCTTCTCCACGGTCCATTTTATCAGCTGACGTTATCGCCGATTAAACCTCCAGGGAGTCTTTAAGGTCACATTTGGGATAATTGTCGCTATAATTGGCTCAGAAACTGGTTGCTCTACATTTAACATCTTTGTCTTGGGGCATTTTTGTTTTCTTTTTCTGCAGTTTTGGATAAACTGGAAAACTAAAAAACTTAACCGCACCACTTTAGTTTGATGGATCGGGGTCACCACACACATGCCACGATAGAGATAATATTTTTGGAAATCACGAGTCGTCACGTCATCACATCCGTTTTTTAAAGTGTGTCAATGATCCTCGCTCTCTCCTCTCGCCCGTCAGATGAGTGCCTACTTGGAAGGCCGAACCACTCGACTGTCCTCCACTGAGACGTCTCGCTCACGCTCCTCCCAGGAGGATTTCCTGTGTGGCGAGCCACCTGCCGTGGCCGCCGAGCCGCAGTACCATCCTGGTCCTCTAGGGGGAGGCACCACGCACAGCGGGAGAAAACCAGGGGGCAGCAACAGCAGCGACGTGCAATACAGATGTGATCCTGTAGAGGTGTGTGTGGTGTTTGTCTTCAAATAAAGGAAAATGAGTTTGTGGTAAATTTATTCTTTAACTAAAACAAGAAGACAATGCGTCCATGTGTCTGACGGCAGACTTTAATGAATTAAATAATTTAAACCAACTTCTTTATTAAGATCAGATTAAAAATTCCATTCATTTATTTACATTTACAAACTTTTTGTCTGTCTCTACTATTGCGTCCCACAGTACCGTTCCAGTCCTGCAGGGGGCAGCAGCGAGACGGGCTCCCCGGGACGCTCGTCGTCGTCTCAGAGACGTTCTTGGCAGGACCTGATTGAGACGCCGCTGACCGAGGCCGGACTGCACTACTTACAAACCGGACCATTAGGTAATGTCCCGTTCAACCAGAGACTTCATGGACACGACAAGTGACGTTCAAAAGACATTTATGAGGCGGCTCAGACAATCTTCTAAACATGCATGAGACAATGTTGAGGTTTGGTTCTTTGCGATACTCAATATTCATATATTCATACACTTTATGTATCAGTGATTCTTTAAAGATGATTCTATTTCGACCAGAAAAGACAGAAATTAAAGATCTCTATTATTTTTCCTTGTTACCACAGAGGATGCAGTGTTTGCTGAGCCCGGTCCTGGAGGTGGGACCATGACGGCCGGTGCCGTTTACACTCTCCCCGCACAGAGGAATGTCCCGTTGCCCATGGCGATGCAGAGGCTGATTCCTATGGCAACCCAGGGAGGGAAACCCCGCAGCTTCACGCTGCCAAGAGACAGCAACCTACACACACTCCTGACGCCTCCTGCGAAAGAAGTGCATCAAACGCACAATGGTGAGTCCACCCAGGAGCATGCATGTGGTGAGGCGCACAAAGATAATGCACTCTGTGTCGTGTTGTAATGCGTGTGTGTGTGTGTGTGTGTGGGCGGGCTGGTGGCCGTCAGGTGAAAGCAGAAATTAGTCTTGACAACCACCAGAGACTGAAAAGATTTTTTAAGGTGAAGACTTTGACGTCAATACATGTTCCAGAAATAAAAACGCTCTCGGGCGGACACACTTGCATTATAATCATTGTCGGTATCAAGTAGGGTAACACACACACACACACACACGCACTCCACTCACACACTCTTCTAATGAGGCTAATGAGACGTGGGTGCACTGGTTGCCAAGGTGAGTCCAGCAGCGTACAGGAAGTAACTGAAATAGTAAACAAGACTAATATATGTAATCAGGTGGATTATTAGAGAAAATTGAGATTTGAACGATGTATAATAATCAGCATGAAGCAGAGGAAATGGAAAAAGTGGAGAGGACGTCCCTGAGGCTGAACAGGATTTTACCATCACAAGTCATTTTTCTTATACTCGGTGTGTTATCATGTGTGGTGCTGCCTCTAGTGGCTGCTCTGAGAGATAACTCAATCAGAGTTATCGGAGCGTCTGAACGAAACGTGAGACTCTCTTTCTTCGTTGAAGGTGGCAGTGAAGGTGCGTCCCTCGGCGACCTGTTTCGGGCCTGCGAGCAGGGCGGGGTTTGCCCTTTAGGTCGCGGCTCAGAGGCCAAAGGTCAGTCGGAGTTCAGGCAGTCGTTCCTCAGACGGGCCGCCGACCCTCAGCTCAACGATCGTCTGCATCGCCTGCGGATTCTGACCTCCACGCTGAAGGTTGGTTCTTGCTCTTCTCTCCACGGTGTAAACACACACACACAGACCAGGAGGAGTGAATGTGCACAAACACTTAGGATGGAACATTAGTTTATTTATAAATATATTACAAATATATTGTTTCCTGCTTCAAAATAAAAGCCGGCCCCTGTTTAGCCATTTGAAGGCTTTCAGCAGTGGTGGAGGAAGTGCTCAAACGTTTTTCAAAGTAAACTTTGACAAAAATGTACGTCATTAAAAGTACCACATTAACTTTTCTACTTGAGTACTACAAGTACATTTTGTTACATTCAAGTATATTTTAGACTCTCGTATACCTCTTAAACACTCTTTAATAAATCCTGTTATAGCTGAGTCTAAGTTCAACCTGTGAACAAAAGACGTAGCGGAGTAGAAAATACAGATATTTGCTGATGTAATGGAGTAAAAGTGAAAAGTACCAGTACATAAATGTACTTTGTTACATCCCACCGCTGACTGTCAGTGTGGATGAGAAGCCACAGGAAATATTTGTTGTATTTGCTGAAAATTTTTCAACCGTAAATCAAAATTGTGGTTTGATTTTATTGGAAATCTCAAAAATCATAACTTTAAAATGTCACATTCAAATATTTCCGCAGTTCTTGATCCTCTGCTTCAGATGAATGTTTTTTTGTTTTTCGTATAGGGGCTGAAATATTCGGGTTGCATCTCACTTTATGGAGCTAGTTGTGATTCACTGCTCATTTCTGCTCATAATGTACACACACACACACACACACA